GGGCCTGGTTGAGTGGCTGGGAAGCTGAATGTAGTTATTCCCCATGGTGGGACTGGTAATTAACTCCATGGTGCAATCTACTGGAGCAGCTGAGTAGCTGCTTTGGGTATGTGGTCTGCTTCCCATATATAAGAAACAGCTTTGGGAATGGTCTCTAGCTTATGGCATGCTTGAACCCTGCATATAGACAAGTTGTTTAGCTGCCTGCCATGCTCTGCCCATCCTGGGACTTTCAATGGACTTGAATCAATGGCCTGTCGTATTGTTTTGTAACATCAGGACTGTGCCATTTTATTTGTCGACCTTGGGCTTGTTACCCTCAGCAGTCAGTAGTTGCCTGAGTAAAGAGCTGCCTCTAGCTTCAGTGGGCCGGGAGCAAGAGGCAGAGCTGAAGCCCAAGGTCCAGGGGCTTCCACACAGCCTCTAGAGCCTGGCACTTGGACTTCTAGCCTCCAAAAACTGTAAGAAAATAAACTCCTGTTAGTTAAAGCATTGCATTTGTGGTATATTCTTGTCGGAGCGGCACTAGGTAACCAGAACAGATCCCTTTCCAAAGACATACTGAGGAATTTACCTTCAGTCTCACTAGTTCTGTCTTCCATTGATTCAATTCTACTTCTTTGCCTGTTCAATGTGTTATCTATTTCTGAAAATTTAGTATTAATCTTCTGGATTTTTGTCTGTAGATTTTGTATCATTTCTAATTTTTCATTAGTCATTTTGGTCTTGTATTGTCTTTTGAAATTGTTCTAGGGTTTTCTCTGTGTTTTCCTCAATTTTATCAGTGTTTTCCTTGATCTGTCTCTCAATTTGTTGAAGATACCTAAATATAATTCTTTTGAATTCCTTATCAGAAAGTGCCAGTGCTGTGTCTTCCTCCAGGATGTTTTAGGTCTGTATCCTGGTCCCTTGTTTCTCCTGTTTTCTCTTGCTTCTTTGTGTGGACTGTGATACTCTGTTGTCTCCAAGGCATTGTGACATTTTTGTGTTTATATTTAATTGGTGATTTTATCTTAGAGTGACTCATCCATGATTTTTGTTTTCTTTGTTTTGTTTTGTTATCTATGTAAGCAGGGTACTAGGCTGTGCTCCTCTATTTGCTAGTTGGCAGCCCTTATACACTCACCACCTGTCTCCTTTCCCACTGTCTGCCTCCAGTATGTCCCTGTCGTCCTTTGCAAACAGAGCCTATTCTTGGGTCCCTGGAATCCAAATGAGAATGCTATCACTTTAAATCCAAAATGGCCACTGCTTGTAAACAATGAAAATGGCTGCACCCTTCAGACAGCAGAAAGTTCACAGCTCTGGTTGTCTCCCTCCTTGCTATTTCCCTTCCTAGTCATAGGCCACCACCACAGTCATCCCTGCATCCCTTGGTGACCAGGGCTGGTCTTTAGGTCAATTCTCAGGTCCCAACACCACTTGGAAATATTCAGGCTGTTGGTCACGTCAGAGTAGCTGATAGTCCACTGCTCTGACCATCTTCGTACTCACTGTTTTCATTCATGTTTTTCCACTAGTTGGTGTCTAATCCACTTCTGTATACATTTCCTTTCAAAGCTCAGGACTCCAGGATCATCTTCTGTATCTCTGTCAATTGTTTTTTCTTTTCTTTGTTGAAGAGGGTCTGTGTAGCTTGTCTCCACTTCCACATTTTAGGTATCTGTTAGAGCAGTGATCCATTCCCAGTACCAAATTCTTGGTTATCTAGTGCTGCTATAACAGAACTTCCACAAGTGGATGGCTTTAACAAACAAATTTACCCTATCACAATTTAGAAGGCCAGGAAGTCCAAATTCAGGGTGCCAGCTCTAGGGGAAGGCTTTCTCTCTGCTGGCTCACAGTTCAGGAGGAAAGTCCTCATCTCCTTTTAGCATCTGTAAGCCCCGTGTTTCTTGGATATTTCCATGTGTCTTGGCATCAATCTTCCCCTGGGTTTAGGAAGTTCTCAGACAAAACCCACTGCTATTGAGTTTATTCTGACTCATAGTGATACTGTAGGACAGAGTAGAACTGCCCCATAGGGTTTCCAAGGCTGTAAACTTTTATAGAAGCAGACTACCTCCTCTTTCTCTTGCAGAGTGGGTGGTGGGTTTGAACCACCAACCTTCTGGTTAGTAGCTGAATGCCTTAACCACTGCACTACCAGAGCTTCTTGGAGGTTCTCAATAGAGGGCTCAAAATTTTCAGTAATGGTAACCAGGCCTCATTCAGTTCTTCTTGGCTCATGGCAAAGGAGGCAGTTATTTGTGGAGGCAATTAGCCACACATTCCATATCCTCTCCCATTCCTGACCTACCTTCCTTCCTCCATTGCTCCAGGTAAATGGAGACCAAATGTTATGCCTTGGAGGCCCACTTATAAGCTTTTAAAACCCCAGGCACTATGGAAGGAACTAGGAGGCAGAACAGAAGCACTAAACATGTTATTCGATTAATTTACTGGGATGACCCATGAAACCATGAGCCTAAATCTCCAAAGCCAAGTTTGGAGTGTTGGTTGTACATAAGCAACTTCATCTGTAAATATTCTGGTGTGTGTCTCTAAAACAATTTTTTTTTAATATATCATCATCCTAAATGGTATCTAAGTTTTAATTTCAGGTAAGACTACTTCATAACAGATAGTGTGTCCTTCCTATGGCTTAATATTATTAGCTGCCTGCTAACTGGCCCCTGACTTAAGGTGACCTATGCACCATGGTATCTGACCATTTGTGATGCATAAGGCTTTCACTGGCTGATTTTTTGGAAGTAGACTGCCAGGCCTTTCTTCCTAGTCTCTCTTAGTCTGGAAGCTCTGCTGAAACCTGTTAGCCTCATAGCAACTTGCAAGCCTCCACAGACAGATGGGGTGGTGGCTGCTCTTCAGGTATATTGCATAAGGTGTGTTGGGTGGGGAATTGAACTGGTCCTGCTTGGAGGGCAGAATTCTATCATTGCCATTGCATATTATAATAAAAAGCCATTGCCATCAAGTTGATTCTGACTCATAGTGACCTCCATTGGGTTTCCAAAGCTGTAAATCTTTAGGGCAGTAGATAGCCTCATCTTCTTACTGTTGAGCAGCTGGTGCATTTGAACCCGCACCGTCTAGTAAGCAGCCAAATGCCTTAGCCACCACGCCACCAGAGCTCCTCCGCGTAATATTAGGAGGCACGTAATATCTGGGGCTCCGAGATTTTGACGCTCCGCGGGCCTCCGTTAGCAGTCAGTCCCGGGACAGAAAACTCCACGACAGAGCCCAAGCGCCTTAAAGCTATACCACAGCCCATCCTGACCGGATTCTAAGAGGACCGGCAGTTGCAATAGCAAGCGGTGCGCGTGCGCAAAGAGACGCATCCGTCGGCTGCCGTAGTTCGCCTTTCACGTGGGCACCCTGGGGTCATGGCGGCCTTTCCCAAATCGGTGTTGCTCGGGCTTCGAGACGCAGCAGTGCACGGCTGCCCCACGGGACCGGGTGCCTGGGCCAGTAGCAAGCTGGGCGGTGTCCCGGTGAGGGCAGGCAGTGGAATCAGGGTTGGCGGGGTTCTGGTGAGGGACCCGGGGCGAGGGAGGGGGCCAAGTCTTGGGACAGGGTGTGGGTCTGAGCGCTTCCACTACCCCCAGGACGCCCTGCCCGCTGTAGCACCTCCGAGGCCGGTGTGCGGACGTTGCGGACAGCTGCTCGCGCTGGCAGTGCAAGTGTATTGCCCGCTAGAAGGTTCCCCGTTTCATCGGCTGCTTCATGTGTTCGCCTGCCCCCGCCCCAATTGCGACAGCGGAGGCAGGTAGGTGTGGGAGTACTGGAGGTGCTTTCTTTGCGGCGTCTCTAGGACGTTAGTAGGTGGGAACGTGAGGGGGTGTGCAGGGAGAGTGGGACAGCGAGTTACTACTGTTGAGAGTGGAGTCCTCACAGTGGTCTGTCGTTCCTCTTAAGCTGGAAGGTGTTCCGTTCCCAGTGCCTGCAGATACGAGAGAAAGAGCCACAGGATGTTCAGGTAAATCGGTTGTGATTAATACTTCATGTTTTGCTGTAATTTGGAGATATTTTCTAGAATATTGTTTAAGACATTTGTTTTTTAAGCCGCCTTCTGAGAAGTACGTTAGAATGGTTTTTGCTTCTCTCTAAATCATAAAATATTATTAAAATTTTGTAAGGTATTTCTTTTCATTTATACTGAAGTACATGGTTTTTTAAATTGATTTTTTTGCTTCGAAAAAAGTACCATGAATGTATTTATAATAAATACATTAGTTGTGATGTGTGCATATATGTATAACAAACAAAATGAAATTTGAACTTAATTGAATTGAAAATTCTGGCAAGGTGGTAATTATTGAACAAAATTCAGTCTCCCTTTGCATGTAAATGTTTTTATACACACACACACACACACACACACACAGAGGTCTTACTATGGTGGCAGGCATAATACTAGCAATACCAAAAATAAAAAGATGAAGATGATGGTCTGCGTATATTTGTCAAGATTCAATTGCAGGCAATAGAAAAATGCTTTGATGTTTTAAAAGCTGAGAGAGATTCAGTGTAAGCAGATGTTTTCTAATTTATTGTATAGGCTGAAGCAGGTGACTTCACGTTTGACTGTAGTGTGGAAGCTTGGGTGGTGTGGTGAACTGGAACCTGCCCTTGATAGTACTATTGGGTTCATCTGTACCTACAAACTGGCTGCCCTTTGCTTCATGGCTTCTCTCCCCACTTCACTGTGTCCCAAGTTTAAGTTTCTCTCTAGTGGACCTGATCATATCTGGAACTATGGCTGCTAAAGAGTCTGGGAAATGTATTTCTTTCCTTCTAGCTTCTGCAATACATGAAATTCACAAGAATTTGGAGTAGATGGTTGAAGAAACCACGTTACTACATCTACCATACTGTTTCTGAAAAGGAAACACAAGTACCAGAGTCACCCCTGACATGCTTTTGAGTAGATGAGGTATGGGGTGGTGAATTGGCATGTGGTAGTGGCAAAGGGGCTGCCAGTCTGAAGGCTCCTTCAGGAAGGTGAAGGGATACGTGGCTGAAGCCAAGGGAATAAATGAGATTATTCAACTTTTCTTTTTTTTTTTAAATTGTAATTTGGGTGAGTTTACAGAGCAAATTCACTTTCCATATATACTTTGTCTCATGACATTGAAAATGATTTTGAGTTTTGTTCCACATTGTTCTCCCACTCTATCCAGGATCTCCTACATAGATCCCCTCTGAGTGATTGACAGTGGTAGCTGGGCACCCTCTAGTTCTTCTGGTCTCATAGTCTTATAGGCAGAGGATTGCATGGTGTACCAGTCGCTTGGACTAATTGTTTCCGTGAATCTTTGGTTTTCTTCATTCTTCTTTGCTCTGGTTAAGAAGAGACCCATTGATGCATCTAGATGGCCGCTTGCAGGGTTTTAAGATCCTAGTCGCTACTCACCAAAGTAGGATATGGAATAGTGTTTTGTGTAGTATTTTATGCCAATTGAGCTTGATGTCACCTGCGACTATGGTCCCAAGCCCACAGGTCCAACTACTCGCTCCCTCTGGGTAGCTGGCTGTGGCCAAGAAGTGACTACAATCTTGTCCCTTGTCAGCCCTACTATATACCTGTGAATTCTTACAGAATGTACCAATATGCTTATTCAAGTGTTCTTACACCTCTTCCATTGTATATTCTCCCAGAAACAGGAAAATAGTCTTGTAACTGAGAACTGGTGTGAAGGTGCAGATGACTGGGGAAGTGACAGTGAGGAAGTGCCTCCACCGCAGATTACTTTGGATTTTGGAAATGATTCTAACAGTGCCAACTACAGAGACTGTTCAGTCCAGTTCCAAGACCTCAGCCTGCAGGATGCTTTCCTGGGTGCTGCTCATGCTGCATCTCCTGGGGAAGATACACCCTTGCCTATGGTGCCACAGTTCCTGCCATACTACATTTCCGTCATGGATGAGGATGATTATGGGGACTTTGTCAGTCTAGATCATGCCAACAGCCTTCTGAGGGAATATCAACAGAGAGAAGGAGTTGAAATGGAGCAGTTACTTTCCCAAAGGTGAGAATATGCCACTGAGGTTGAGAGGTGACTTGGACAGGAGCTACCATAGTAGGTTCCCCAGTACCTGGGGAAACTTTTTCAAGCAAGACTTGTGTGTGTAGGACTTTTCTGCTTCAGTCCTTTTGGATGAAGGAGATAAAGACAAGGAGATCTCCTTATCAACCACCTTTGAGTGAACTTGGAAACGTTTTTCTGTGTTTATAATGCCGGCATGAAGATGAACAAATAAAGAAGTTAGGGATGCCAAATATTTATAGAAGATAGGTTAGCTATGTCTTTAACTTTCTTTTAAAAAAAATGTCTTTATAACAGAAACAGGTGAGTTAGAAAAAAATGCCACTCTTGTGTGTAGCTTGAGAATTGGTCTGGGACCTAGCAGTCCTGGCTTGAGACCAGACTACCGTTGACTCTCCCAGAGCCTCACTTGTCAAATGGGAGTAATAATGTTACTTGTTATTTACCTTAGCAGGTGGTTTTGAGAATTAAAAGAGAGACTAGATTGTGAAAGCTTTTATAAACCAAAGTACTATTGGGAAGTAAGGATGATCAGTTTTGCTGTTACAGTGCAGGTAATCTCTGACTTATGACTGGTTCCCATTCTGACCACTCTTTTCCTTAGTCAGTTCTGATGTAAGTCGAATACCTCATATATATATTTTTAATTTCATTATTACTACCTTTGATTAGCAGTATCTTTATAAATCCAATCTTTATCTGTCTTTGGAGGTTGGAAACATTGCATATAAACTTCCAGATTTATTTTAATACATAAAAAATACAAAATCATAAAAATTTACTAGGACCATGAAGAAGAGTTGAATGTTGTAGGCATTTTGTCAGTTGGGTAGTAGCTGCACGTCTGGAGGGTTCTGGATCATCTGGATTATCCCTGGCAGTGAGAATAGCATTTCTAGTCAGAATATTAGTGAGAATTGTCTATATGGTCCTTTTCTTGTTTTCTTTATATATTCCACAGTAACATCTCACTGCTTCCTGAATCTGCCTCTCAGCTTTAGCAAAACAATCAGCATCTGGGTACATGTTTTCAAGCATCTCCAGCCCTTAATACCGTTTAGGAAACAAAATCTTGTGGTAGTGTTTTGAACAGTAAATCATAGAATTAAACATCTGTGAGTGAACATTAGCAAATTACACACTGTAACATTTTATGTAGTACATATTATTACCAATAAGATGTACCCCCCCAAAAAAAATTATACTAAGTACAGTTCATCATAATTAGAATATGTGATAAGTCAAGAACTGCCCATGATTGAATTACACCAAGATATTTGGAGAGATTACCTGGTTCTTTACCAGAGTTTCATTTGCAAGCTTTGTAGATTGTTAATGGGGAGTGCATGAACACGTGTTGGTATTTGAAAATAATATATGATGAAGAGCGAACAAATATTTGCCATAATGACTTTTTTTTTTTTTTAAATATTAATTGTGCTTTGGGTGAAAGTTTACAGAGCAAATTCACTTTCCATACAGCAGCTCACATATACTTTGTCTCATGGCATTGTCTGTAATTTCCCACAATGCAACAGCTCTCCTCCCCCTTCTTCCCCATTGTTACCTCTTCCCTGTGTCCTTCCCTCCCATGCACTCCTGCCCTGTTTCTCCCAAGCTGTCTCCCTGTGCATAGATAGTCCTTTTATTCTCGCAAGATTGATCTCTCCAAGGAGAGTATTGACCTGACATAAATGTTCAGTTTATATGCCTGTCTTTTGTTTGGCTGGAAGTCACAGGAGTGGGTTCACTTCCAGACCTGAAGGGCAGCTAGGGGCCATAGTCTCAGGGGTTCCATCAGGCTCCATCATA